ATAATTATGAAAAATAATAACAGTTGCTAACAGTTGTTATTTTTTAAAATAAAATTGATCAAATATAGTTAATAGATTTACAATAAAACCGTTTTTTGTAAAACGATTTTATAAGTCCCAATATTTTCCAGACATTCAGATTTGTATTTTATCAGCTCTTTTAGCATATATAACATTAGTTTTTATTAAACAAATTAAAATATAATTACATATTGACTGTAAGTTTCATATTTTTATTTAGTTCATTATTATTAAATTATTAGTTTTCATTAAACCCAATCATTCTAGAGCTTCAAATATCTATTTTAAAGTCTTACTCACTTAGCATATATGAAGAATACAATTTTTTATTAAAAAAAATTAAGATACAATGTTCATATACGTATTTTTATCAACTTATGGAACTCTCTTAGCACATAAAATATTGTTTTATATTAGAAAACTTATAATGCAATAACTTTATTTATTTATCAAACCCAAATAATCTAGACGTTCATATATGTATCGGCTTATAAAAATATAATATTTTTTATTAAATATGTTAAAATACAACTAAATATTGACAAAATAAAGAAACTTAATTTTTTTTATTAAATCCAATAAATCCAGACCTACATACATATATGCATATATATATTTTTATTCAAATACAATTTATTCAAATACAATTATGTTTTAACAGTAGACTATATTTTTATTAAATTTATTAATTTCTTTATTAAACCCAATTATTATAAGTACAGCACTTTAGGAATGTAAAATAATGAAGTTTTTATTAAATATGTTAAAATATACTACATACTGGTAGGAAATGTAATATTTTCAAAAACTATATTAATTACATCAATTGCCCCAATTAGATCAGAGGTCTGTATGAGTATTTTCTCGATTTTTTTTAACGCTCCAATAATATGCAATAATAGTTGTTATTAAATACTATGAAAAATAGTTACATAAAGTTCAGACTTTCATAAACTATTATTTTCTTTATAAGACCCAAATAATCCTACGTACATTTATAAATTTTCTGAACTTCTAAGACTCTCTGAGAACATATAAAAATATATCTTATTAAATACGTCTTATATTTAAAAGATAATAAATCAAAGTTTTTTAGTGTTTACAAGTCAAATTTAATGATTGACATTGATATATTGACGAGAAACTTGTGATTTTCATAAAGTATTATTGTCTTCACAAGACCCAATTAACCCTACGTACATTTATACATTATCTGGACTTCTTAAGCTCACTAAGAGTATACAAAATTTGACTTTTTCAAAAACTATATTACTTCTTATGACACTCATATAACCCAACTGTATCATATAAACATTTTCTTATATTTTTGAAATGTCTATTTATTTTCTACTAAACTTCATTCGCGCTATGACCCTCAAATATTTTCTTTTATTTTAATATTTTGCTTAAGTCAATATAAAACAAACTGATTTTTTAATTATTTAGCAAAAAATATTTAATAATATAATTTTAAGTTAAAATATATCTTTGCTTTTTATATATATATTATTTTTTACTTAAAATATGTGACACGACCCAGTTGATTGAAACTTGACCTCATGACCGTGTTAAAATTGTAATATCATGGGAGCATAAGTTTCAAAAAAAAAATGCACTTATTTCTTTTAATGGTTAACATAAAAGTTTTAATGCTTAAACACGTTTTAGGGAAAAACCAGTTAAAATACTAATAATTTTTTTTACAATAAAAATACGTGGATAGTAAATTTTTTTTATTATACAATTCATGTAATTTGGATACCAAATGGTTTATAATTCGGAAATATTTGTTAATATATGGATAGTTTTATGATTTGTTTTCATAAACAATTTACATTTTTCCATATTCAGATTTTTTCTGCTATAATAAAAAAAACTCTTATTTATTATAATTATTATATTGGCAAACAGCTTGTAAAAAAATGTAAATGCTAAAAATCAAATAAACTTGTTTAATCATGTATCGAGAATGTCCCCATGACATATAAAGAGCTCGACTACTTTTCGAATGTCCTAAAATCCAACTATATTGCAAGACATTATCTGTCCAAACCACACACAATAATTAATAGTTCTATCCAATCGATGTGACATGGTTTCGATATGTTTTGTAAAAATATAAAGTTAATTCTTTTTATTCCACTCATCTTTAACATTCTTTCATTTATAATTCTATCTTTTCAAGTTGATATGGTTTTGAATGAAATAAATAATCATTCCCCTTGTTTCCACTCACCCTATTTTTTATTCCATTGTCTTATTTCGTTGGATCAAAATTTTCAAAACAAACCGAACTCGTGTTATCCTTCTTAAGAGCTAAAAGGCATAACATATATAAAACGAAATATAGAAGGTTTTTAAGTGAATACATAATCTAAAAACTATTTGTACTGAGACATAGATGGCATTATAAACTGAAATCATAATTTTGTATATTTAAAATCTGAATTGTTTATGTTATATATATTATACAATACAACTTGAAATTTTTTTTTAACAACCAATATGGATATAAACCACATTACTTTTTATATTTGCTTGTAATTATGTAAAAAAATTGTTTTTGATTTCCTACAAGTAATTGATTTACTAAGTATTATACATTTATATATACATATATTGCCTTGGTTTTCTTTAAATGGAAGCAATTAATTATCATGAGGCAATTAAAATATTAATTTTGGATAGTTTCATTGTAACAAAAATTCTTCAGAAACCATTAAAAATGTGATATGTTAATGATTAATGTAAGCATTGTGCCCTTTTAGGTCAAGTATAAAACCTACATAATCAATATTAATTTGACTCTGATATATGAATGGAAAACGAAAGCAAATTAGGAATATACTGGATCTTTTATGTCATGATCTATAATTCTTCTTTTTATTAAACCTGATATAGAGAGGTGCAAAGAGTTTTATTGTGCTTGATTGCATTGCTTTTCAAGCTAGTTATCGTCTTATCTTCTGACAATATATCCGTACTTAAATTTCTATCGATTATAAGATTTGTTCAGAATTTTGAACTAAATATATAGACTGGCGTTGAAATCTCTAGAGTCATATATATGAGGGTTTGCATTTCTGATTGGGTGGCAATAGTGGTTAACCCCATGGATCACTTCATATTTTTTGTTTCAGGGTATATTTAATTCTATTTCATTTATGTAGCTAAATTTGATTTTTAGCTTGTGTTCAGGATAGATATTTCTTGCTGCGAAAAAATTCTTCTATTTAAAGAGACATACCTTAGCAGTGATAAATATGAAATTAAAGTTTAATACTTTGTCTTATTGTATTTAAGAGTTTAAACTTTGCTAATACCAGATTATTATATATATCATCTTATTCACTTTTACAGTATTAATATAGATAGAAGTTTTACCTAGAATAAACGTTTACTAAAAACCCTCAATATCTGAAAGAGGGTTGAATCATATATTAGCTTATGCAATATACCAGTTTTAAATTCATTACCTATTAATTGATGTAGTTAAAGCCTTAAAAAGTTTTTGACTACTCATCCCGAGTACGAATGTAAACGAAAAAAATAAATGGTTGAAGAGGGGATAGGTTTGAGAACTATTCAATAGAATTTAAATATAATTTAAACAAAGATAATTTAGTTGTAAAACACATTAAATTAAAAGCCAGCTGTTTCTGTACTTGTTTTTTGTATCAAAAAATTTGCATTGTAAAAACAGATTGTAAATAAATAATATATAAAATGAAAAAGGTATAAAAATATTTTATTCTTACAAATTGAGTCGGTCTATTCAGACTTAAATACATTCCTTAATTAATATAATAGTTGCAATTGTTATAAGAAGAGCTTTTTAACTTACGGGTATCAACATTAATCATGACATAAATTTTGCTATTGAGCAATGTTATCATTGCCACTTTTATTAATGAGATATGTTATTTTTATATAAATAAGACCTTACACTTCTCTAAGTAAACTCTCAAGAACTTAGCATAAAGTTTAAGCAAAATCAATGCTAGGTTAAATTAACTTAAAGTGACAGTCTTGTACAAAACTTATTGAAGTGCACACAGTAACCAGTTGTGATATAACAAATGATACACCATCCATACATAAGACTCAAAAACACCTCAAACGTAGTAGTCCCAAATATGTAGTATACAACAGCGTCCTTTTGAGACGGCGACTCACCCATTCAAGTAGAAGGGAACCAACCTGATAAGTCTATTACCCAACAGGTCAGTTAAAAAGGGGGGTATCAATATTCTGTATCTAATCGTAGATAATTGTAGAAATTGACATATCAGGTAGAGTACAGTTGAGATTAAGGCTAACCTTTTAATTTGTTTTTTTAATGCTACTACTAAATTTATAGGATTAATATATTTTGTTCTTGCACATCCAGTATATTGACTAAAATTAATTCAATCTGTCCATTCCTTAAACAATCGTACTTAAAGATTGTTTTATATCAAATCATGCTGAATCTTTTGTATACTTTCTGAAATTAATAATATCGTTACATTATTGAGAAAATATTGGAATATGAACTATTAAAAAATTTACTGAAAAATAGTGGCAAGGTTTCTTTATCTTAATCCTGGTTAATTTCAATTTAAGTTCCAACTATTTGCAAACTACCACCTCTTTAACTCATGTATTCATCATATAATTCCTTTACGTTATTTGATTTTCAGATCCTCACGGGATACAACAACAACAGCATGTCTTTAAAATAAAATAAAAGTTATTCTTCAATAGTGAATAAAATACAGCGTGATTGAGGTGGTCTATTGTATATTAACTATATAAAGAACATTTCATATAGTCAAACAAAGTTGACTTTTCTATGCCATGAAATTTGATATATTTTTTTTTCAGAATTGCTAGAAAGTTGCTTTTAGAAATGTAAACAATTTTAATATATAGTAATCATTATATAATATTAAAAAAATATTCATAATATATATTTATAAAGATTTTTTTTATTATAGTCAAATGGCTGACACTTTAAGTACAGGAGGTGGCATGGAAATGACGTTAAAAGACAGCGGTATAGTAATCGATATGACACCGGCAGCCATTTTACAACGCAATTCACTTACTCATTCCCTCCGAAATCTACGAGAAAACAGTCCAGAACAACAGACTGCTTTAGATACGGCATCAACATCAGGTACAAGTACTTCCCCAACAAATTTTTCAACATCTCCGCCCGTAAATACATTCCGTTGTGATCGTTGCGAAAAGTTTGAAACAAATTCTCGTACAGCTTTAGTGTTACATGCAGTCCATTGTTTTCCAAGTCCGCCAGGACTTAATACAGAGGATTGTGATACAGAAAGCATAAGCGTTACACCAGTCATACAAGCTAATAGTAAAAGTGGTGTTGGAAAATCTACAGTTGAATCTCAATCCGCTACACCAAGTGTAATTTCAGTTGTAGCAAATAGCAACACAAGTAGTAATGCGGCGACATCGGGTTCTGCGACATCTAGAAAGGTATTCGAATGTGATGTGTGTAATATGAAGTTTTCCAATGGCGCTAATATGCGTCGACATAAAATGCGGCATACTGGTGTAAAACCCTATGAATGTAGAGTTTGTCAAAAGAGGTAATGTGTGTAATAATATCATAAACTTTGTTAACATTAAATGTTTGAATAATGTGCTTATTTTATATAGGTTTTTTCGTAAAGATCATTTGGCGGAACATTTTACAACACACACAAAAACTTTACCATTTCATTGCCCCATTTGCAATCGTGGATTTCAGCGACAAATTGCTATGCGTGCTCATTTTCAAAATGAACATGTCGGCCAACATGATCTTGTAAAGACTTGTCCTCTGTGCAGTTATCGTGCTGGATCTATGAAATCATTACGCATACATTTCTTTAACCGGTATACAGTTATTTTCTATATTTTATCATATAGTTTTTATTTATTAATATACATTTATAGCCACGGCATTGACTTAGATAATCCCGGCCCTGGTGGAGCTTCATCTTTATTATTTGCTTTAGAAAACCAAGCATCACAAGTGGCAGCTGCAGCGGCTGCGGCGGGTTATGTGCCCGGTTTGAATGCGGCTGCTGCAGCTGCAGCTGCTGCCGTTGCTGGTGTTAATGTAAATTTACAAAGTCACCAGAGTGATAGTGGAGAATCAATGCGATCTATGGAAAATGCTACGCCTCCAATGCACTTTTTAACGCCTCATGTAGAAATATCAACGTTATCAGATAATAGCGGAGAAATTTACAATGTAAAAACAAGATACACAATTACTTTTATTTAATAAATGTGATTAATTTTAATCATTCTAATTTTTTAGGGCGGTTCAGCAGCTGTTATGTTAGCTAATGAATCACTTGATTCCAAAACCAAAAATAGTGATACGGCAGTTGATTCAATTGTGTTGCCTCCACAGGAGCATGCAATGGACTGCAATGCCAAATCGTTGCCTTCAAGTACAAGCAATATTAATGTACGACTTACCGCTTCACCTAAAATACATCACGATAACCACATCACACCTTCCATAAGTTTAATACCCATCAAACAGGTATTTATATTTAATAGAATATAAGTTTAAAATGCTTTTTAAATTAAATTTCACATTTCTATAGGAGCCCTTTAATGATGATATGTCAAGTGACTCAAATAAAGGTGACTCAAAAATGAGTCCCTCCGCAGAACAACATAATCCTAGTGACACCAGCGAGTCAGAATTTTCTTTGACGAATAATAAATTAAACTCTTTAATTAAAGTAAGTTTTTTAGAAGAATGTATAGGAGCTTTAAAATTATTTTTACGACCTATAAATTCATTAGGCGATTCATTAATCTGAAAATTAATAAAATTTGCTTTAAATTCGGCTCTCTACAACGTCTTAAAGAAATGTTATTCGGTTAATCCTATTTTTTATTTTTTTGAGAAGAGACTTCCGAATGTTTAAAACGTTGAAAGTACTGTATGATATGAATGTTAAGTTTCTAATTATGAATATATATATTTATTACTGTGTATATTTTTATATATTATATGGGTTATATTTTTAATGTCTTAAATATTTGTGTACACATATAAGATGGGGTATGTGACATGTGAACATTTAGAAATTGTATACATATTTTATACAGATATCATGTATATTAGTATTATGTATATATTTTATGTATATTGCAATATATATAGTTCTTTATATATTATTTATATTTTTTCGTATAAAATATTTATATTTTTTATATTTATTATATATATTTTTATAAATATACATTTTTATACAAATTTTATACATATATTATTTTTATTATTTCATATTCTATGCATATTGTATATTTTTTGCATATTTTATGTATTATACTTTTTATATTAAGTATGTATTTAAGCATTACCATCTTCTTCGGCATAGTCCTTGGAGAAACCTGTCCTTTATACAAATCTAATCCAGTTCTTTCAATCCCTGGTTCTAGTTTGTTGAATTTGTTATCACATTGTGTAGCCATTTGTTTCGATGTTTACTTCTACATCTTCGGCCTCTGATTGTTCTGCCAATAAAATTACATTTACAGTTCTTTCATGGAGCATACATTGTCCTCAATATATTATAGCGCAGAATAGTGCGGTGTGAAAAAATATGTGGAATAGAAAAATTTACTAAAATCCGTTATGGAAATTTTTTTAAATATAAAAGAATTATTTAATTTATAAAAATAAGAACTACTTAATTTGATTTAAACCTAGCAATAGATTTACATTTTTTATCTATTTGTCATGTGAGAATTATAACTTATTTAGCTAAAAAAAGTACATAACACTGAATTAAACATTTTTGAATGTTTCGGATTTTTTCATGATTTAAGCTATTACTAAATAGAAAACAATTATCGAAATATAAATTAAATTCTTTATAAAAAGAAGTTAATTTGTTTTAAGTAAAATTAAAAAATATTGTATGATTCTATATCCTAATATTTGGACCACTTGAATAATTGAAAATATTCGTATTAGATCCAGATCCGTAATTTCGAAATATACGAGTATTTACAGATTATAAATTATTTGATGCAAAACAAACTATTCAGATAGTTGTGAATTGCAACAATAATTTTTTTTATTTATTTTTAATTAATTGAGTTTCTGACCAAACATTCGAGTAAAAGCTGGCTTTGTGATAATTAACTAATGAGCACTAACTCAGAGCTTTAAATTTGGCAAGATACGAGCTTAACCTTTGGTACTTGCAGTCTCAAAAAATTATTTACGAATAATTAAATATAAGAAATAATTTCAAGACCAATTTGGCCAAACTCGTACAGCTGCATGGATAGCCAAATAAATTAATTAAAAATAAATTAAAAATGTTGTTGCAATTTACTACTGTTCGAAATCTCTATAAGAAATTTATTTATTATAAAGTAAAATAATATGTATAGCGTAATAATAATATATAATACAATTAATATTTACGTATATTAATTTTTATTATTTGTAGATTTTGGAAGTTTACCCCATTTAAATTTTTTATGTTTAAAAGCATATGTAAACAAAAATATATGAAATATTTCTTCTATAATAATATATTATTATTATCGTTTTGCTTTTTTTATTTTTGGTTTCTTTTCTTGTTACTTTCTTTATTTTCTTGTTACTATTAACTAACTTCATAAGTATTATTAAGTAACATTTTCTAAAATTGTAGTTCATAAAGTCAATATTAATTTTAAGTATATGTTTAAGTATCTTATTAAATTATGTTAGCTTATAAAGTTAATAACTATTAAGTTAATGGTAAAGTTAATATGTTATTTTTTAAAATTGAATATTTTATACAAAAAAATATATATGTAATTAAAAATTATTACCAATAGTCTTACTTTATAGTCTTACTGAACCCTCTCTTCTATGAAGTAGGCTATAACTAGTATATGACTCCCAACTTATGTGATGAAACATTTCGAGCTTGTAGTATTTTCTGTTGCTCATTTATTGTTTACGTACAAATTATTATTAGTGTCAGGGCAATTTTTATCGCTTTTTGGTCCAAGTCAATTTTTCCTGAATTTATATTATTTTATAAGGAGACACCGCATATAATGATTTATATTATATTACTATATTTTAATATTTATATTATTTTTATATATCTTAATATTTTCTATATTTTAATATATCTTAATATTATACTATAGATTTTATTAAATCGTATTTATATTTTAGGTATCACCATTAAAATCATTGTTGCGAGAGGATCTAAAGAGGAGAATATGTGCTAAAGCGAATAATCGTATAACTCGAAACGCTCTTGCTGTAGAAAATAATAATCTCAAACAAGGTACATCGAATAATAATTCCACATGTAATTCTACGCCAATCTGTAATGGTACTATAACATCATCGGGTCAAGAAACAGAGTTAACAATTCTGAATCGAAAACAAATTTTAACGTGCCTTTTTTGTGGCATTGAATTTCCTAATGAGACTCTTTACTTCCTTCACAAAGGCTGTCATTGCGAGAGCAATCCATGGAAATGTAACATCTGTGGAGAACAGTGTAACAACGTTTACGAATTTAATTCGCATTTGTTGAGCAAAAGTCACCAATAGCAACCAGTTAGCGCCGCTGTTGGAGACATCGGTAGGTGCTTTAATAGCTAAACAAAACAGGTAACAAACAAAAGCATAAGCATTAGCATAAAGCATAAAGCAAGAGATTTGTGGAAGAGTCCAACTATGTATATTTCCACATGGGCATTGGCAATATTATTTTTGTGATAGTCGTTTCATATTACAAGAAAACTATACAATTATATACATAAACTAAACAACAATATAAAATAGCTCATTGCACTTATATTATTATTTATTTATTTAATGTACAAATGCATCGGAGGTAGTGATGCAGTAAGCGAGTATGCGCAATATGTCGTTTTATCATTTAATTAAAAAATCTTATATGTGATAATACCATAGAAATGATTATTTTCACTACCTTTTATTGTCACTTATCGCTTAACACACTCCAAGTAGTAAGTGAAAAATGCAATTAAAGCGAGAAAAAAAAAGTTTTTCAATTAATTTAAATAGTAAATTGTTTTTACAAGAGTCACTTAATTACTGAACTAAATAATTAAAATATTACTAGTGCTGGTCAACTTTTAACACGTACCTTGATGATATATTCTTTTGAATACAAATTTCAATTTTTAATTAAAAAATATTTGCAAAAAAAAATGAAAAGATTCTAGTATATTAATTTGTTAGCAAATTCCATTAACCAAAAAGTTTTTAACAATAATGAAAAATTTAAATGTAGGCAATTCAAATAGGTAAATACTATATAAATATAAATAAATAAATATATTAGCGAATTTTATTCTAAAAAAAAAACAATCAAAATATGGAAAAAAATATTTTAAATTAGAAATTGTAATATTAATTATATTTAAGCGATATTTTTGTATTCAAAGCTACGTAGTTACCTATAGTACCTTTCTTGCATTAAGAGAAATCTTAATATTTACAATTATACGTAACGTGACGTAAATCTTTAAAAGGCAATAAAATGCAATTTTATTAAGTTTAATTATAATGGCAATAATTTTTATTATAAAAAAAAAACAATATAAAATATTGTAAAAAATTAATGCCTACAGATATAAGCATGTATAGGAATAAATCGGGCAAAAAAATTAGTATAATATGTACTACATTTAAAGACGTATTTTTATTAGAGTGTATGCACCATTGAAGGCCTTGGTACAGGCTTTAAATTGTTATTGTTTTCAGAGTTTTAAAAAAGAATTATATAAATACATATACATCTATATATAGATATAAAGAATATATATATATTTGAAATATATTAAGTTGATATACGTTATATGGTAAACTTAAGTATATAATAAATCTTATTTATATATACATACTTCGGTACATACAATTAAATTAGCGTTTAAAAAGCGTTACAAAATATTTTAGTCTAGAAACTAGACATAGCAAATTGTTATATATACTCGTATTTGTATTCTTAAAATTTAGTTAATAAACGCGATTCAAATTCGTACATTTTCATATTGACATCCGTCCAAGAGTTCACTCTTAATGTTGTTTTGTGAACAAAATGTAAAAATGAAGTGAAGAATATGTGAACTTTTTATTTCATAAATTTTAAATATACATTTTTATATATTACCATAGTTTATAAAAAAAAAATAATTTGTTGACATATTTTTATCGTCGTTGTTTCGTTAAGTTTTGCTTCTGCATAATTGCAGCTTTTCTTTTACATTAATCAAGTTTTTTTTCCTCTACATAAAATTTTTAATTCTAAGGGACAACAAAACTTTTAATCAAATTTTTAATTAATTTTTAAAGAATTTTAAAACAATTTTTAATTAATTTTTAACCAATTTTTATTTTTTTAAGCGAGACTCTTAATGGTTTTTTTTCTGTGGTGTTTTTTTTTCTCTTACATATTTTATGTTAAAATATATTACAGTATCACTTATCATACACACATCAATAAACAAATTATAAACAAAAAAAATAATTTAATACCAGACTACAAATGAAAATCGTTTAAATAAAATAAAACCAATTTAATATTTAATATTTCATTCAAGTAAATAATTGTGAAAAACTCACTTTTTACCCCACACATATTTATGTATTTTTATGTTTGTTCAAAATTATTAAAACCGTTGTTAAAAATAAACATAGCAATATTCACACACAAACAAACTCTATATAGCAATAAAATTGTTAATTTTTAGAAATAAAATTGTTAGAAGAAATGAACAACTTTTTGTCTTTTGATTTTTATTCCTTGTTAATTTACCAAGTCTAAATCCAATCAAATTATCATAGATGTTCAAACGGTTTAAAACCTTTAAGATCTCTTAAAGAAGGAATTTAAACCGACAATTCTAAACCCATTCGTATAATCATACAAAACTTGAAGGATTTAAAACCTTCAAGATCTTTTAAAGGAGATATCTTAACCGACTTGTTATACGAAACTCGATTGAAAACTTTCAAAGAACGAGGATCTAAACCAAGTCTCAACCCATTTATATTATCATACAAAACTCGAAGGAATTGAAACTTAAAAAAATTCTCTTAAAGTGGGGATTTTAACCGACAAATCTAAATCCATTGATATCGTTGTACAAACCTCGAAGTATGCAAGACCTTTAAGATTTCTTAATGGAGAGTACAAAAGGAAACAGGCTTGTGATGCCTTAGCCTGCTATGAATTGATACGACGAAATATTTCATATACACACAAATATATCGATGCTAAAATGTCGTCTTTTAATTCATCATCTTTAAAGGATTCACTACTCGCTATAATAAATTTGACCCCAATACCTTTCAGGTTATAAATATTCTAACACCACCAGCGCCCTTGGCAAGACTACTACGGTATCGCCTATCTACTATCGAGATCCATATGAAAAATTCAGCAGTTGCTATCCTGCCAATTAGCGGTAAGAAATGTATGCAAATGCTCTCTGTGGCACCACCGATTATTATGTACTGCTCAATATGATCAATATGAACTAAGTAGTTTACTTAGCTACTTGAACGTAAGAAGACTTAATAAAAGGTAACGCTACATTTTTGTCACTCTGGACGTGACTTCACCGATTCATCTTTAACGCCGCTACTATCATTGGCAAAGTTTTTTCTAATCTTAGAAATAATTATTACAGACGATTTTAGGCATGGCCTACAAAGCGCGCAGTGATTTGGTATTTAATGCAATCATATCGAAACCGTGTCTGGTCATTTCCAGTTATCATACATTTAATCTTATAGTAATAGTCAGAAAGTGACATTTGAAAGATTTTAACGCAGCTGCTGAGACTACGCTACGGAGGCAGCAGTAATCGACAACCAACAGTTCTTCTAAAATCCCGAATGGAATTTTCTGGAATATACCGACTACGTAAACTTTATATAACTCAAGTATCGATGCTTAATTTATTTGGAATTTATAAGCTATTTATATAATAGTAATAAAGGTTTATATTGTATTTCGTGGCAATATATAAAATTAAATACGTGATGTATTTTTTGATGTCATATATAGACAAACAAATTATAATTTTATTCAAAAGATTCTTTATTTACTCTAACATTCTCTTCTTAAAGTCTATACACTTATTCCACCATTTAAAGGTAATAAAAATTTATAGCAATGTATATTAAAATACAACTGTAATATCATACAGTCATCACGTTTGCATTAACTTACATTCAGTGTTATTTATAATAAATCGTCTCCTTACTGTATAAGTGTCAAAATGTAGCACTTAAATGAATTTTGCAAGCACTTTTCAAGTGTATCATAATAGTTACTACAACCCTACAAACTTTATTTTTCGGGATGAATTGTATAATTGGTTTATATGCAAAGGCCATCGAAAATAGAATCTATTACTATTAATTTTTCCATTGGTTTGGTATGAAAGATTATTTATTAACACTTGTTATTTTTAAGGCTATGTATTTACTAGCCAAACGTTTATTTTAAAAACAATAAATGCTTGTTTTATCCATAATATCTTAATTAACAGTTGCTTGTGTTTAAAACATCTTGTATTTGTTTTTATGAATTGCATATTTTAAATAAATTTCGTCTAAAATGAATAAAATTCTAAAAATTCACAATCTCTACGTAAATAAAAAAGGTGCTTGAACAAAGCTTTAAAGTTGTAACTGGTAGTATTTTTTAAATGAGCACCATTTGAGCTGTAAATGAATATTATAATGAATATCATTATATTATAATATAAAAATGTTTGTATGTTGACTATAACATCGATACCGATAAATATAGATTTAGACTTGAATAAAAATTAATTAACATTATGTCAATAGAAGAAATTATATATATATACACTAAATCAATTATTTTAAGTGAAAATAAGAAAATTGCGACGAAGGAATTGAAAGAATGATCCAGCAGTCACCATTTCATCGTCTAAAATAAAATTGGAGTACTTGATTTATTAATTCATCGATTATGCAGTCGGTTACAATAATTATCAGTTACCTGAAGATATTTCCCCAAAACTACCTCTTATTATGAATCTAAACTATATTATCCTAGTATTTGTATTATAATCGCACAACTAATCGGTTACCGACAAAGGAATTACGCTGTATGGAAATCGTCAACTCTCTCGACTTTAAGGTAACTAACGACAGCCGGATTTTAGTTAAAATCAGTTAAAAGAGATATCTTTTTTAACTTGTATTCACAACATATTTTAAATTCACATATATTACACACTAACACTCATTCTTTTAAACATGCCATCGTAACATCTATAAATTTATTTACTATATGTTTGTCATAACAAAATCTCTCCAACTGGGTTGCTACTAAAACAAAATTTAAAAATTATTTTTTATTACAGTAGATGGAAGACAGCGAATATGAGATTCATACTTACTCAAGAAGACATAGGGGATAAGAGATGATAAGGGATTTGGATGCAGTTGTGTAGTGGAGGCCAGAAGTGTACAGTTTGAGCCTTTTCACGAAGAGGCTTAGAAATTGAAAGATCTGTTCCTTACAGATTGAAGAAAATCAGATAGTAGAGGAGAATCATGAGGAGAGTTACC